GCATCCCATACAGGTGCCAGTTCCAGTCCTGGCTGCTCCTTTTCTAATCCAGCTCTCTGCTGTGGCCTGGGATAGCAGTAGAAGATGGCCCAAATCCTTGGGCCCCTGCACCCATGTGGGAGACCCAGAAGAAGCTCCTGGCTACTGGCTTTTTGGATAGGCACAGCTCCAGCCATTGGTGGCCAACTGGGAAGTGAGCCAGTAGATGGAAGACCTCTCTCTCTGTCTCTATCTCTCTGTAACTCTGTCTTTCAAATAAATAAAATAAATATTAAAAAACAAAGAGTACCTATAGCATCAGGTTATTGTGAGGATTAAATGAGGACTACATATAAAAAAGTTTGCCTGGCACATAATAAGCATTGAGTGTTAGCTCTTATTATTGTTGACAATAAGAGAATATAAAATCGTAGAGTAGTGCTCTGCCAGCAGTATATCTTGTTTTCTCCCCACAAAATGTGGCTTCTGTTGTCAGTGGAGAGCAGTTGCCTTCTGAATGGATTTCTACTTCCTGGGACACTGCCCCATTGCCTGGTGACTGGGGATGTCTGGCCTGTCACCTTGCTAACCAAGCAGAAGGGCTATCTCAAAGCACAGTCATGTGTGGAGAATCTTGTGAGCTTTTACTTAGTAATGCATTCTCTGTTAGAGACAGAATAACCACAGTAGGTAACTTGGAGTTTGCAGTTAGTCCAACCTTAGCCACAGAAAGCCAGAGTGGTGAGGAAGGAGGGAGGGAAGGAGGGAGGCAGGGAGAATGAAATGGAGAGAGAGAATCTTCCATTTGCTGGTTCATTCCCCAAATGGGCACAACAGCTGGGGCTGGTCCAGGTGAAGCCAGCAGCCTGGAACTCCATCTGAGTCTCCCATGTGGATGGCAGTGGCCCAGGAACTCGGGCCATCCTCTACTGCCTTCCCAGTCTGCATTTTTAGAGACGAAACACATTTTCCCCAGAATTCCATTAAAAAAACATTCAACAGAACAGTTAAGTAATTTCATTTAGAAAGCAGAAGTATCTTAACTTTTATTCTGTGGCTTGTTACAGATGGTAAGCACACTGAGACAATGCAGTATGTGAGACATGTCTCCTTCTCCTTTTGCTAAAGGTGCATCATGTGGGCACTGCAAACCTTCTTTTAGGAGTCCTCTGTCTCCAGTCTTTATTTTTGGACATTCTCCTCTGGATTCTCTGCTTTGTTTCTTTGACCTCTGGCAAAGATATGGGAATAAATGTCTTTCAAGCAATATAGGCACAGGAAAGGAGTACAGCCGAGTCCTGTGCTTCCTGATTTTTATTGGCTTATGAAAGCAGTGAGTTGTGGTCCACACAGCTTCAGGTTGTCCTGATGCTTTTGTGCTTACACCTGAGTTTTCTTTTCTTTTCAGTTTCAATAGTTCTTAAATTTTCATTGACTTGCCATGTCCCTGAATTATTATCCAGAATCTGACTTTAATTCTTACCTAAACTACTAGTGTGGTAGCTAGGGTTTGGATTTGAAGCCAGAGGGGAAGAGAAAAGGAAAATCCCATTTATTGAGTGCTTCTGCTCCTTCATTCATCTTTCTTGCACTGTTGCTATGAGCCAGGCATTATGGAAGGACATTGAGTGCTTCTTCTCCTTCATTCATCTTTCTTGCACTGTTGCTATGAGCCAGGCATTATGGAAGGCAGTATCAGATAGTTGCCCAAGGATATGAGTGCTAGGGCAGGTATTTGGCACAGTGGTTAAGATGCTCCTTGGGATGCTCACATCCGGTGCTGGAGTTCCTGAGTTTGAGTCTGGGCTCCAAGTCTGGTCCAGATTCCTGCTAATGCAGAGCCTGGGAGGCAGCAGATGGTGGCCCAAGTGCTTGGGTTCCTATCACCCCTTTGGGAAACCCACATTGAGATTTAAGCCCCTTCCTTTAATCTGGCTCAGCCCTGGCTTTTGGGGGTATTCAGGGAGTGAACCAGTGGATGGAAGGAAGATCTCTGTGTCATTCTTCTATCTGCCTTTCAAATAAATTTAAAAATACAGAAATGAAAATTTTAGAAATAGGACATGGGAGCTAGAGTCAGGATTTCTGGGTTTGGATATTGGTCCATCAGTTATCAGCTATGGGGCCATATCAACTTCTCTTTCTCTCTTACTTCTTTCTTTCCTTCCTTCCCCTCCCTCCCTTCCTTCCTTCCTTCCTTCCTTCCTTCCTTTTTTTTTTTTTTTTAAGAGATTTATTTATTTGACAGAGTGACAGAGAGAGGGTAAGAGAAATCTTCTGTCCTCTGATTTGCTCCCCACATACCTTTAATAGGTGGGGCAGGGCCAGGTCAAACCCAGAAACCTGGAACTCCATCCAGGTCTCCCATGTGGGTGGCTGGCACCTAAGTACTTGGACCATTAACTGCTGCCTTTCTAGGCACATTAGCAGGAAGGTGGATTGGAAACACAGTAGCCACAACTCAAACTGACCCTCCAAAATGAGATGCAGGCGTTGCAGGTGGTGCCTAAACACACTGCACCATAACATTTGCCCTTATAATGACTTCTTTAACTTCTCTGTGCCTCTGGGTCCCTATCAGTCAAGTCACTGATAGTATCCACCCCATAGGATTGTTGCAATTAATAACTTAAGGATATAGAATGAGTAGATGATGACAATGATAATTATGGGGAGAGGCTGGGATCAGGATTCAACTAGGCCCTTCATTGCTCACATGCTGCTCACACTCACGTGTGTGTGTGTGTGTGTGTGTGTGTGTTTTAAAACCTGAGGTACTGAGGGATGAAGTTGGAGAAGATGCAGGTAATTACAGTGAAGTATGGTGAATATCTGTAGGAGAGGGGGGTACAATGGGAGCATTGAGCTGGGGATTCAGGCTCCCTCTCAGGTCAGGGACACATGCTAAAGAATGTGATGTTTAAGCTGAGATAGGCAGGAGTAAAAGTTAGGTAGGCAGAAGTAGCAGTATATGTGATGATCTGAAGAGAAAAGCAATTTGTGTTGTTTAAGGAACTGAAGAAATTCAGTGAGTTTACAGTGTAGGTTATAAAGAGGGTGGTGAAGAAATGTGGCTGGCAAGGAAAGCAAAAAGGAGATCATGGAAAAATCAAGTCATGTTAAAGAGTTTGGGTGAATAAGAATCAGGTAATCTCTTTGGGGGCTTCCAGTAATTCTTTCAATCATCACAATTTTGCGATCTTGTTATTAGCCCCATTTTGTTGATGTTGCTCAGCCTTAGAAGTAGTAAAGAGAGAAATTGAGCCTCCTTTTGGCTCCAAAGCCAGCGTTGTTTTGGTGCCACGAGAGGATTTTGGCCCTTGAAGACTGGTTGTTTGCTTTATGACTTCAGGTCATCCTCTTAATTTTCTTTAGCCTCAATTTACTCACCTATAAAATAGGTAAGAACTAATAGACATCAGCCTCACAGACTTGTGAAAACAAATGGAAATATACATAAAGGGCTGAGTATAGTGCCTGACAAATAGCCAGAGTAACCCCTGCTTATGAACCCAAATTCTTATACAAAAAAAAATGGTTTTTTTTCCCCTCAGTGTCCCAGAGAACTGAAATGGCCTCCATCAGCAGCCACCTGCATGTTGGCTTGATTGTTAGTCATCTTGCCAAAGATCAGTTGAAATCCACACAGGAATCAACTTTGCACAAAGGCGATTTCCTCCTTCAGCGACTTGACAGGTTCAGTGCATTGGGCTGTCCTCTGCCCTGCAAGCCTGCAGCTGTTTGAGCTTCAGATCTGCTGATAGGAGTGACCCTGAGTGACACCCTCCTGCTTCAGGTTGCTGGCTGTCCTCTCCCTCTGCTTCTGGAATCTATGGGGCTTCCTCTGTCTACAGTCTTTGCCTTAATCTCCACCCTTGGCTGGAATTGTTACTTTACTTTTGTGTTGTTTAACTTTTCTGATGTGGGTACTAAGGGCAGTCGTTTTCTTCCCTCTGTGTTGCCTATAGTGACAACTCAGTCCTGTACTATTCACTTGGTAGATAATTGCTGTCAACAGGATGGAGCTTTTGGGTACTGAGGCTCCCTCTGTCTTTTTTAATCTTCCCAAAGTCCTCTGAAGTAGAGACAGCATTCTTTTTTAGCCCAGTTAGAGAAAGTAGGGCCTAAGCTTAAGCAATATTCCCATTAATTCTTCTGTGATATTTAGTAAGAGTATCTCTGTCACAGGGGCTAGGAAAATCAAAACCAAAAGACAGTATTCCTCAAGTCGAAGCAGGCATTTGAACAAATTACGAAATACAGCAAGGGAAACTTTAGGACAGAGGCATGGTGAAAATGTTCATCTGTGGAGGGTGAGTGAGAGATTCAGAGAGAAAGAGATGTTTCCACTGCGGCTGGTGGGAGGGAGGGCATCCGAGGCAGAGGAAATGACCGATACCAAAGCACATTTGAATGAACAGACAGGCACTGTGGGAGGCCCTGTGGCATCAGCATGGCTGGCAGGCTGAGTATAGAAATGGAGCAGTGGTAGACAGGAGCATGACTATGACTCCCACCAGTAAGACCCCAAGACCCCAAGGACTTGGAGGAGATTGTAGGGGCCCTTCATAGTTCTCTCTCTCTCTCTCTCTCTCACACACACACACACACACACACTGCAAACTACCTTTCAGCTGTGGATGGACTTCCTTTTGCCCTGGCTTCTTTGCACTTCAGCTTGCCTACACCCCTGTTTGTGATCTCCTTCCTTGGCTAAATGAAAACAGATCTTATCACATGGGGACCTGTGACCTGACTGCTTGGAGGAATAAGTTACTAGGTGAAAGGACATCTGTGTCACTTATTCTCTGTAGCATGAAATAGCTGGGAAAGAGTAAAGTCTGTCTGTGGTCAAACACCTGGGTTCCTCTCTCACTGCCAGGGTCACCAGAGGGGAGCATTAAATTGCTCTTCGAATGAGTCAGACCTGCTGTTCCTGAGGAGACCGGGCTGGTGCAGCTTGAGCTCTGTGGGCAAGTCTGACCCGGCCCCTCTCACTCTTGCCTGTGTTTGCTTTGCAGCTGTGTAAATGAGTATGGAAGATTATGATTTCCTGTTCAAAATTGTTTTAATTGGCAACGCTGGTGTGGGGAAGACGTGCCTAGTTCGCCGATTCACTCAGGTAAGGGAACTGTAAAGGCCAGGGATGGGTTTCTCAGTCTAGCCAGATGGAATGAGGGCTGCTCCCAGGACCAGCCCCTTGGCTATGAGATCTTAACTCACCCTTTGAAAACTCTGTCAACTTTGCAGCCTGGACTAGAATTTTTTAAATCACCTCAAGAGATTGTGGCGCCATAGGGTACACCAACCCTCCCAGGCCTCTTTTCCCTTTAATGCAGGAGGAGAGAGCCTTTTTTCTGCCAAGAACGATTTGGATATTTATAACAGCATTTGCGGGCCATGTAAAATTATCAGCTTGAAAATAGACTACTATGGATTTATTGACTTTCTAGTCCTACCTGGTAGTTGCCTTGGCAGGGCCAGACCAAATGATTTCGCTGGCCTTATGTGGCCTGTGGGCTGGATATTCCCCACTGCTGATTTAATGAAATGAGCAAGTGATTTTGCTTTCAGTGCACAGTATCAAAAATAGATTATTAAATTAAAAACAGATTATTAGTTTATGGTAATCCAAAGATAGAAACAAATGACTCTAGACATCAAAGTGAACCTAAATCTTAAGTAATATATATATATTTATATATATATATACAAAACAACAACAAAAAAAAACAAAATACTCACATGCAAATTGAACCAGTCTAACTCCCTGCCCATGCACCCTCATATCCCCCCCAAGGAAAATGAGTGAGTCATTTTGGTTTAGAACTAAATATGCTGATTTTTTCTAAATCTCAAATGAGAATGAAATGAGAACAGTGAATAACTATCTGAACTGAATTGAATGTTCCCTCTGAGCAGAAGCCTGATTATGTGACAAAAGTACAAGTTTGCTTTGGGGCTGTCTACCTGAGACTCACTGCCTGAGATGATAATACCCATTTTATATAGAAAATAGTGAGAAACCACTTTCTTTTGCATTTTTCTCTTGAAAATATGACTTGGCTTGTCCTGTGAGCCTGAGACAGTTCCCTACCTTTCCTGGGGCCCCCATGCCTTGCTCTACAGGAGGGACTGGGTGAGGTTGCAGGCCCCTTTCAGCTCTGACAGTCTGAAACTGGAGAGACATATTGGGCAACACAGATGCTTTAGGGCCCAGAGTCACTTTGGAAATGTCAGGGTTTTTCCCATTATAAGTGAAAACAGAATAGAACCTGTGCTTTTTACTAAGCCTTGGCCTGGTGAAATTAAAAGTAATAAGCTAACAGGCATCTGGGGCCCTAGTCAGCCACCATGGAGGTATGTTGGAAACTCCAACTGCTTTACCCCTACCTGACATTAGTCATCTTTTCTGCTTTTGACAGGATATGACTGCAGACCTGCAGATGTAGAAAAGTTTTCAGTCCCTTTATTAAAAATTCCCTTGACATTATCTGATTATGGAAAGGTCAGTAAAAGATTATTCAGTTCACTCCTCTCATTGTATAGTGGTAAACTTAGATATGGAGGGACTGAGTGACACGTTAGGATCTCCCATCTTGTTAGTGTCAAGGCCAGGAATAGAATCCAGTTTCCTGGTTCTCAGCCTAATAATTTTCATCTCATGCAGGTTTTAAGCTCTGAGACCATTCTTTTCTTTCTTTCTTTCTTTTTTTTTTTTTAAGATTTATTTATTTATGTTGAATATCAGAATTGCAGAGAGAGGGGGATAGAGAACAAGAAATCGATCTTCTATCCTCTGGCTGATTCACTCCCCAAATGGTCACAACAGCCAGTGCTGGGCTAGGCTGAAGCCAGGAGCTAGGAGCTTCTTCTGGGTCTCCCACATGGGTGCAGCGGCCTAAGCACTTGGGCCATCATTCACTGCTTTCCCAGGCCAGAGCAGAGAGCTGATTAAAGTGAAACAGCCGGGACATGAACCAGTGTCCATATGGGATGCTAGCATCGCAGGTAGCAGCTTTACCAAATATGCCACAATGCTGGCCTGAAACCAATCTTTTCAAAAGCACAACCCTGTCATGAAAAGGTGAAAATTGTTTCAGTAATTTTTACCAATAAGCACCCTCACTTGCTTCTTTCTTATTTAAAATATTCTCTGCTGTGCACTTTTTACAGTTCTTCAGCTCCCCAAAAAGTTCATATTTCATAGGCTGGATTAAATTTGTTTTTGTTATTTAGTAGACAGTTAAAACTGAATTAGATGCATCTGTTTTTCAGGCATGAGGGGTTGAGGAACAAAGCAGTGGGGAAACATTGGGAAGGATTTGTTTTATTTTTTGGCATTTGTTAGGCTGCAAAACAGCTGGAGCTATGCACTTGAAGCTTGGCAGCCTTGTATCTGAGCCAAGCAATAATAGAAGAAAATTGACTCAATATTTGTAAGTAAAGTTATGTCTGTTTATATTTACATCTTTTGCAGACGTGCAATGGAACATTTTCTTTTGGTTTGAAGTTTAGCCTTTTAAGATCAAACTTTAATTAAAGAAATCTCTTGTTGGAGAATAAATTTAATTAAAGATGCCCCAGTATGAGCTGCTGGAGCTAATAAAGTCCATTTTACTCTAATTTCTGGAAATTCTGGCTATCAGTGAGGAAGAAGAGTTCTCAGAATTCCTTACCCTGCTCCTTCTTTCAGTTTGCAGGAAATGTTATGTAACTGTAAATTACAGTCTACATGTAATTTTGCTAAAATCCTTTCTATCTGGTTAAGTTTCCAATTGGAAGTAAAGACTAAAAATTTTTCAGTGCTTACATCAGCCTCAAAATCACTGAATTTGGGTCGCAGAGAGGGGGAGTGGTTTGTCTGAGGTCACACAGGAATGCCGTCTGCTGCCTCCTAGTTTAGTGCTATTTCTATTCTGTTGTCTCCCTGATGATTTTATTTTCTTGGATTTTCTCCCCAGTGTCACTGGCCCTGATCCCATGTAATTATATTTGTATGGTACAATGCATGAGGAAAACAGTTAATACCCTCAGGGCAGAGGAAAAGTCACAAGCTTCATCCTCTTGTGTGTGTTCCTCATGCTGAGTTCTTGGTTGTTGTTCGTGGTGGTTGCCCACGGTCAGGGCTGATAACCAGCCTTGTAGATGCTCTCTGAAAACATCTAGCCATTTTTCCTGCACCCTGATCATCTTGGTCTCATGTCTGTAGGTCCAGGCTCTTCCACCTTATCCTTGATGTCTGATTTTTCTGTGTTTCTTTGAAACCAGGCACTCCCACGAACACTCTTTCCCAATTCTCTCCCATCACCCTCTGTGTCTTCTTCTGGTTCTCCTTGTCCCACTTTCTCCATCCTTTGCCCGCCCCTGCAGCATACATGCAGAGTTCAGTCAAACACGGCTTTTTTTCTTCCAGGTGACTCAGCAGAAGGAAGGGTCTGGTAAAGGGCAGAGGTCGGGGGTGGAAAAGGTGGCGGGTGTTGGGGGTGGGGAGAATTGAATTTCATTTATGGAAGACTTTGCCTCACTCTTATTTTCCATTATGTCTCCCTTAGGGTCTTTTTCCCCCAGGTCAAGGAGCCACAATCGGAGTTGATTTTATGATTAAGACAGTGGAGATAAATGGTGAAAAAGTAAAGGTAAGATATAAATGTTTAATTAAGCTTGTATGTGCTAAGTGAGAGTTTAGGGTAAGTAGTGTTTCCAGCACTTATCCGGTCTCCTAACTGAAGCTCCTGTTTAAAACAACACACTCAGCCATGGCCGCTGATTTCCAAACACAGGTTTTTTTTTTTAATCTCTTTTTGGGGAAGGAAGGAATTTTGCATCATAGTCTACAGATTGAGAGCAGGACTGGGAAAGAAAAACTAACGCAAGTTTTCCCTGCTTTCTGGCATGTCAGAGATGATGTAAAAGGAAGGAAGACGTTTCTGTGTGGATCTCCTGAGTTAGGCCAATAATTAGTGCTGCCCCTTCTCAATAGCAGCCCCATGGAAGAGCCTCTCAATTCCTAATGGGGTCCATGGCCCAGTCAGTCAAATGATACATGTTGAACTTACCCTATCTCCCTCACCCCTAGCAAGGAAGAGATACCAAGTGAGGGGCCCAGGGAAGGATTCTTAATCTTTTCCCTGTTCCCCATTTTGTGATTTCTGGATGACTTAGTACCTGGAGGAATTATGGTTTGTCCAGTAACAGAGAAATGGGATAGTGTTTATTTAGCACCTGTTGTGTGTCAGTGCCTCTGCTGGGTGCTTTTGCATGTGCTGTCACAGTCAGCTTAATTCTATCAGCCTTGTGAGATATGTTGTATTGTTCTTATTTTATCAGCTTCAGAGAGATTAGATAACACATGTATCCAGGACTGTGCCAATTGGAAGGGAGGCAGGCAGGATTTGAACCAGCTTTGCCAGCCAGTATACCTCACTGCCTCCCTGGGGTTTCCCTACCACAGAAAGAGGGGAATGAAGACACCACAGGCCCATCACCTTGGAACAAGGACAAGAGGAAGGTGATGGGAAGAAATGAGAAGTAAGACTAAATTACATGGAAGGAGGGTAAAGATACTCATATACCTGTCTTGCAGAGGTATTGAGATTTCATTGTCAGATCTCTGTTGGCTGAGTCTCACAGAAAAAAGTAATAAGCAGCACAACTAAAACTGGCATCAGAGTTCTAGCTGCTCCCTAATCTAAGCATCACACATTTGGGTTCATCCTTCTCCCATACATACCTGCACTCCTTCCTTCAAGTGCTTTGGGAAGGCCAGAGAAGCTCCATGGCACTCTTGCAGCGTTTCATGGACACTCGCCATCAGAGCAATGTTTTGGATGAGTCCGGTGAGTGGGGAATAGAAGTTCTGTTGTGTTTGTTTCAGCCTGACTCCTCAAAGTGACTGCTTATTGCAGAAACCTTTCCACCCTCTACAGTAGTAAATAGTAAGCTGGGGGTGCTGGAAGATAAGAGTAGGGTATGAAACCCGTATAAATGCTAATTAAAAGTCAGAAAAATGGTGTTCGGTTGTGGGGAGAAGGAGCTAGGGTGTTGGTATAGGAAGGAGACTGGAGTATGCTTAGAGGCATTGGCAGGGAGAGGCTTCTGTAGCTTTCTGTTGTTCCAGCAAAGGTTGGCAATCCAAGGAGGTGGGTAAAGATAACTAACATTTCATACGTTGACTTCCAGATGTTTGAGTTTCTCTTTATATGTAAGTGGTAGGGTGAGAGTGGAGTGAGGGGGAAGATCATTTGATTAAGCAGGAGATTTAGTGTCTACCATATTCTAGACTCTGGCTAAGAACAAAAGTTAATAAGAAATGATCCCCACTGTTAACAAATATTCTTGTTTTTCTTTCCTGAATCCCCTTTATTTTACTTTCTGCAAACAATACTCTCATTGTTAAGTGCTTATTACATTCTTCTAAAATTCATCTTTTTATGATATCTAACTTCAACCCAAGACAGAGGGTTTGTGTCTCCTCTTTGTATTCATAGCACAATCCTTGTCTCCAAAACCTCTTCAGGCTTTGGAACTTTATAAAAAGTGAGAATTAGCTTATTGCCCAAATCCAGTCCAAATCAATTTGTTTGTGATTCTTTCCAGCTCAATATGTAGAATTAAGATAGAGAATGACCTTCTTCAACCACATTGGTCCGAGGGCTCATTGACATGTGCACATGTGAAGAGACACTTCTGCAGTCCTTTAATAGAAGAGGGCAGGGCTTGTAGGCATCGCTAAGAAACACTTGTTGGCTTATTGTCAACCCTGTTCTTGAACATTCACTGAATACCTCTTCTTGGCGATGTCTTTTTGCTGTAGTTTACAGCTTTCTCAGAGACTGTAAGTCAATTGCAAAGGGAATCCACTAGTGAGTGATGTGTGCAACATCACTGACTGGTGAGTGGCAGGGCCAGGACCAGACACCTGGGTCTCCCTCCTGATTTCTCATCTCTTTCTCAGACACCCTTCCATGTGTTATTCTTATAGGATGGCTCTTAGGATAAAAGGCAGGGAATCCAAGGTATTACAAAGATTCTTATAGCTATTAAGGCTAAGTAAGTGCCAAATCAGTAAAGGCAGAGTTAAAGGAAAGGCCCTTTTCTTAAAGTGGTTTGCATTACAAAGGTGACCACGGGTCAAAAATATAATTAAAATATATGTACCCCACTGACTTGAACACTTAAAATGTTTAAGATGACCAGTTTTGTTATTTGTATTCCAACATAATTTTAAAAATGGGAAAAATATATAATTTTCTCTTATCCATTAATTTTTTAGTCTATCATATATTGATAAGTAATAAGCAAAACTCTAAGCTCTACTGCCTTTTAACTTTAGGAGATTAATTATAATATAAATAGAAGATTCGCTGCTTTTCTTTCTCTCTCTCTTTTTTTAAAAAGATTTATTTATTTATTTATTTCAAAGGCAGAGTTACAGAGAGAGAGAGAGAGAGGTCTTTCATCCAATGGTTCACTCGCCAGATAACTGCAACAGTCGAAGCTGCACCTATCAGAAGCCAGGAGCCAGGAGCTTCCTCCAGGTCTCCCATGCAGGTGCAGGGGTCCAAGGACTTGAGCCATCTTCTACTGCTTTCCCAGGCCATAGCAGAGAGCTGGATCAGAAGTAGAGCAGCCAGGACTCGAACCAGTGTCCATATAGGATGCGGACACTGCAGGCAGTGGTTTTACCTGCCATGCCACAGTGTCAACCCCATGCTTTTCTTTCTAATCATATCTATGTTGGATAGACAAGGGAATCCTGAAAGTATATACATATATTTTTTCCTCTGACCATCTTCCATCCGTTCATTTGCCCATCCTATGTTATAGTACATGTTCTGTGATAAGTGCTGTGGTGGGAAAAGTACCTTTGCCCCCTGGGAGCATACTCTCTTCTAGCAGCATTTTTACCTGTGAAACCCTCTTTAGTACCCACTGATCTTTTAAGGAAAAATAGTCCCTCCTTTGTGATTGTGCAATCCTGTGTTCATTTAGTTAGCTGTCATTCAAACATGCTCACCATATACTATGTGCTGGCTTAGGAAGGCACAAGGGCGTAGAAGGTCAATTAACAGATGGTCCTTGATCTCAAAGAACTCAGCCTAGTAATGAGCTGACTGTAGAATGTGGGTATCCTCAACAATCAACTCTTGGTCTAGAAGCAGACAGCCCACTATGAGATGGTAGCATCTATCTTTGGCAAGGCCATAAATCAATGTTGTAAAAAATATTTCAGTGGTTTTAACCCTCAAAACTGTTCTCAAGATGTGCTGGTCATGAGAGCATATTGATTTCTAATGGTTGATGGTGTCTAAATCCAAACACAAGTGTTTTAGGGACTCAGTGTGGTTTTAAAGCACTAATCTATTATTCTAAGACACATCTTAGCAGAGGAGAACCATGTCTGTAAGTTTGAGGCAAAAAAGAAAAATAGCTTTGTTCTAGCAAAGCCCCCTAATATGTGAATGGTAGCTTATAGCATACTTAGACTTGATGTATATCATCAAAAAACAGCTGCAGCTTTGAATCAAAGGAGACTCTGTGTGCTGCTACTTTGCAACAGGTACTACCTGTTACTCTTCAGTCTCTTTGGCTACTCTGGGATGAGCAGGTGACACCAGCTGATTCATCCTCTTTGGATACAGGTGAACATTTAACTTATCTTGAGGGCAAAGACAGCAGGGTAGAATGAGACTTCAACTGGAAAGAGAACACCTGGAGCTTGATTTCCCAGCTTTATGCGTAACCAGTTAGTTAGGAGACAGTTTCCATTAATAAAGGAAGGAATAAGCTTGGCTACCTCACTGGGTTGTTGTATGATTAAATGAGCTAGATAGTCAATGGATACTTGGGCATCTACCGTTTTCCACGTACTATCTTTGGTGAGTTAAATGGATCCTGACTTCCTCCTTCATAGAGTTTTCTGTCTAGTGGGAAGAAGATAGCTATTAAACAAATTATTACAAACAATGATTCCAAGTGTGTCAGATGACATAAGGAGAGTTGCAGAATATTTTGCAGGAGAGACTCTTCAGGGTAGGGGATGGAAAACCTAGCCTAATCTGAAGGTTCCAAAAGGTCTTTCCTGAAGAAGTGACATTATTTATTTCTGTAGAGGTGAATGGACCTGTGGCCTGTGAAATGTATACAATGGGAAGGGACGATTATTGTTTTTGTTAATGTTCTTCTTTCTCAAGACCTTGTGATTTGTTTTATACTCTTATCTCTGGAGAACAGCTCTGTTTCAGTAGTCGTCTGCTGTGTACAGGGGAAATCACGGCAGAGAAGTGAGAAGCATTTTCCCTTTTTTCTTATTAGAAATATCAGTTAATAGGATTTGGAACGGGTAGGTGACTTCAGGAAAAAAAAGAGAGCTTTCAGCAGGTTGCATGTTATTAGCCTCTTTTCATAAAGAAACAGGTGAAACCCAAGAGATCAAATGACTCACCCAAGGTCACAGAGCTTAGTGGTGGTGGAGAGAAGTAGTTGTTTTTGCCTGCTATGGCATTGCTCTTATTTTTGTGAACAAAGGTAATACTTTAATACACTTATTTGAATTTTGAACTAGAGAAGGTGGTGAGGTTGGGTTTGTCTCCTTCTCTGGCTGCTGACTGAAAGGCCAACAGTCACAGGATAACAGCTCACCCTGTACTGTGACTTCTGTAATAACAACATGTGGTTAAGAACATGGACTCTGAGACCACAGTGCCACATCAGTGTGACTCTGGGACATACTGGCTGTGCAATTCCACTGAACCCATTAAGTTCGTCTGCCTGTGCCTCAGAGTCCTAATGTGAGAAATGAGCATTAAAGTACACAGTATCTGCCTCATAGGATTATCATGAGGATTATGTGACTCAATACATGTAAAGTGCTTGGAATAGAGCTTGGCATGTAATAAATGCTCAATGAATTTTATTGGTTTTTTAAGAATAAAGAGAAAAATAACAAAGAAAAAAAGCCCCCCTCTCTCTAACAAGAAACATCTAATAATAATACATCATAGCTATGTTTTTAAGGGCAGAAAATAGCCAGGAAATGATTTGGGTGAAGGTATCTTCATTTCCAAACTAAAACAAGGCAATGCTGTCTTTCTTTTCTGCTTCTCCACCTTCGTCCTTCTCTTATGCCTTTACAGCTACAGATCTGGGACACAGCAGGTCAAGAGAGATTTCGGTCCATTACCCAGAGTTATTATCGAAGCGCCAATGCCTTGATCCTCACCTATGACATTACCTGTGAGGAATCCTTCCGTTGCCTTCCTGAGTGGTTGCGGGAAATAGAACAATATGCCAGCAACAAGGTCATCACTGTGTTAGTAGGTAAGTAAGAACTAAGGAGAAGGCAAACTGAGTTAGGAGCATCCAGGATTTTATAATCAGGTTAAGTTTGTGCCTTGTTACCTTCCAAGAGTATGGTCTACAGCTATGTTAAGTCATGCATTCAGCATCCATTTCTTATGCAATTGAAGAAAACATGAAATTGGTCCTGAGTTATGGTGATGATTTAGAAAAATAAAGTAGAAAACATTGCTGATTGATTTTTTTATCAATGTAGGCCCAAGGGAAGAAGTTGGATGTTTATAAAAGTTTTGTGCACTACTATTCATTAAATAGAAACTACTGGTCTAAAAGTATATGTTCTTATTAAGTGGATAAGGAATTTATTATTAAAGCAATTGTTTATTGCCTAAAAAAGTAGAAACTTGGTTAATTTTTTTCTCTTCTTATATTTATGCCTACTTAAGAAATTCTGTTTCAGAAAGAATCTACTAAAGGAAATGCTGCAATTTGTTTGATTTTCCAGGAGGCTAGAACCTCTGTTTCATATGGGGGGAAAGCAGAAAACAACTTTTGCTCTTCTATCATGATAAATACACTATTGAAATAGAATTGCAGGAGTGAGCTTTATGGCACAGTTAAGCCATCACTTAGGGTAACTGCTTCCCATATTTAAGTGCTGGTTTGAGTCCCAGCTACTCTGCTTCTCATCCAGTTTTCTGCTAATGCACCTGGGAGGCAGCAGACAATGGCCCAGGTACTTGGATTCCTGGCACCCATGTGGGAGACCTGAGTGGAATTCTGGGATCCTGGCTTCCGCCTGGCCCAGCCTTGGCTGGTGCAGGCATTTGGAGAGTGAGCCAATTCTATCCCTCCCTCTCTGTCACTCTACCTTTCAAATAAACAAACAAACAAACAAATAATTAAAAAAATGTGAGATGGGGAAAAATGGAATTGTAGTGAAAAAAAAATTAAAGTTAAGGAAAAATCAATGATGAACCCACTAATAAGGAGGGGCCCTAGAACCTAAATTCTAAATACAACTTCCCACTAAAACATCACTTCTTAAGAAGATGGCTAAATCCATGTGGCAGGAAATGTGCGAGAGGTACCTGAAACACTTGTCCTACCAGAAAGAAAATTATTAGAGAATCCAGGGGTGGTGTCTAAAGCATTCAGAAGCCCATTTGTAGGAGATCCCATTTTCAAAGTTGGGACAATTAAAGTATCAATAATGATAATAAATGCAAGGGATTGAATTATATAAAATACATTTAATTTTTTAATGTCATGATGATATTAAAAATATAAATGAAGAGCCAGCATTTTGGCATTGAGGGTAAAGCTGCTGCCTGCAGTGCCAGCATCTCACATGGGCATCGGTTCAAGTCCCGGCTGCTCCACACTTTCTATCCAGCTCTCTGCTATGGCTTGGGAAAGCAGTGGAAGATGGCCCAAGTCCTTGGACCCCTGCACCTGCATGGGAGACCCCGAGAAAGCTCCTGGCTCCTGGCTTTGGATTGGTGCAGCTCCGGCCATTGCAGCCAGTTGGAGAGTAAACCAGTGGAGAAGACTTCTCTCTCCCTATCTGCCTCTCCTCCTCTCTCTATGTAACTCTGACTTTCAAATAAATAAATACATCTTTAAATATACATATAAATAAATGAACCTTAATGATTATTTTTGGAGGATACTAGGGAACCAACAAGTTACCTTAGGAACTGGTGAATAAAAAGGAAACAATCAAGCATTTTTCTTGCCTTTCCTAGAAGTGTATGTCAGAATACCACATTTAGAGCATTTTTGCTAAATATAAAAATACCTGAATCTCATCAAACATTTAGATTTACCCACAAATCTGCAAGAAATACATGTGATGGTATCAAATAACACAACGGGATAAAATAATACAATTTAGACTTTTAAATTCCATGGCCGGCGCCGTGGCTCAATAGGCTAATCCTCCGCCTTGCGGAGCCGGCACACCGGGTTCTAGTCCCAGTCGGGGCGCCAGATTCTGTCCCGGTTGCCCCTCTTCCAGGCCAGCTCTCTACTGTGGCCCAGGAAGGCAGTGGAGGATGGCCCAAGTCCTTGGGCCCTACACCCGCGTGGGAGACCAGGAGAAGCACCTGGCTTCTGGCTTCGGATCAGCGCGATGCGCCGGCCGTGGCGGCCATTGGAGGGTGAACCAACGGCAAAAGGAAGACCTTTCTCTCTGTCTCTCTCTCTCTCACTGTCCACTCTTCCTGTAAAAAAAAAAAAAAAAAAAAAAAAAAAAAAAAAAATTCCATAGGACAAACAAATGCTCCATCAAAAAAGAATACAAGAGAGAAAACAATAAAGGGGGAACCTGCAGATAAAAGGAGGATTAAGAAACATAACAAATAACATATGGACCTTATTTAGCTTTCAAGGCAGAGAAAAAGAGATATCTCCCATCTGCTGCTTCACTCCCCAGATATGTATAATATCCAGGGCTAGAACAGGAGCTGAGACCTCAGTCTAGGACTCCTACATGGGTGGCAGGGACCCAAGTACTTGAGCCGTCCCCTGCTGCTTCCCAGGCTATGCATTTGCAGGGAGCTGGAATCAGGAGTGAAGCCAGGACTTGAATCCAAGTGTTCATAGCACTTGAAAAGTGCCCACCTTGTCCTTGATTTTAGACTGTTCAGTGGACAGAGCTTATGTGTGTGTGTGTGCTCACTAGAGGGTTGTCTTACTAGGCAGGACTACATGTTCTGTCTCCTGTATCACATTCACTTGAGCTACAGGACAGGAAACATGGCTTAACAGCAGATCAACATTGGGCATCCCTTTTCAATGGAAGTATTCTTCATAGTAGCCCATATAGCTTTCCAGGATCCCCATGCTGCCTCCCCAGTTGTATAGTTCAAGTGTAAGGAGAAAAGGTTCACTTCAGGGGGCCGGCGCCGTGGCTCACTTGGTTAATCCTCCGCCTATGGCACCGGCATCCCATATGGGCACCAGGTTCTAGTCCTGGTTGCTCCTCTTCCAGTCCAGCTCTCTGCTGTGGCCTAGGAGGGCAGTGGAGGATGGCCCAAGTGCTTGGGCCCCTGCACCCACATGGGAGACCAGGAGGAGGCACCTGGCTCCTGGCTTCGGATCAGCACAGCACTGACCGTGGCTGCCATTTGGGGAGTGAACCAATGGAGGGAGGACCTTTCTCTCTGTCTCTCTCTCTCTCTCTCACTGTGTACAACTCTACCTGTCAAATAAATTAAAAAAAAAAAAAAAAAAGGGGAGGCTTCTCCCTTTAAATAAAAAAAAAGGTTCACTTCAGGCAAGTGTAGGATTGGCTTCAGCCTGGAAGCTGCAATGCCCTGTTGGAGCTAAAATCTCTTAGAACAATTCCACAGGCATAATTTTCAGTCTGTCTTCAAATGAAGTGTCATCATATTCAGGAAAATCCAAAGTTATGGTTTTCCATTAAGCATTTATAATGCAGATGTAGAATTCCCAAGCCAGATATAATTGATCAATCAGGTGTCATTTAAGCAATGCTGCTAGGTAGCACACTTGACATATTACCTTTGTCAGGTTTCCCAAAGAAAAGATGTAGAAAACTTTTCAATAATCAAATATACTATAAATTATTCACATTGATGCTTCCATTTATAATTCAGGACTTCAGAAATTTTATTTAACCTCATTAATCTCATATCTGTGTTTTCTTCTTCCCATGTCAAAAACCCCGGTTCCCAGTGATATTAGCATAATTACTTGTTCACTTTATCCCATGACACACATATAGCAGTCTCATGATAATAATACCAACATTGCCATTGACAAGATGATTATTGAAACAGCTCAAGATATTTTCCTTCAGTTCTTTTGGTCTTTAATCCTACATACAGAACAATATATGGTTAAATTACTGTATCTCATGGGCCCAGCTGTGGCGCAGTGGGTTGACGCCCTGGCCTGAAGCGCCGGCATCCCATATGGGTGCCGTTTCGAGGCCTGGCTGCTCCACTTCCGATCCAGCTCTCTGCTGTGGCCTGGGATGGCAGTACAAGATGGCCCAATTCCTTGGGCCCCTGCACCTGTGTGGGAGACCCAGAAGAAGCTCCTGGCTCTTGCCTTCAGATCGGCATAGTTCCGGCCGTTGTGGCCAATTGGGGAGTGAACCATCAGATGGAGGGCCTCTCTCTCTCTCTCTCTGCCTTTCCTCTCTCTGTGTAACTCTGACTTTCAAATAAATAAATAATAAATCTTTAAAAAAATAAATTACTGTATCTTTAAATTCACTTGAAATTGTTTCTCTCTGTGTGGTTATACAAGATAAACATAGTAATTTGTTTAACTTTTGATATTTAGGAATTGCTTTTTAAATTTAATTTTGTGATTATATAATTTTATTAATTGTATAATAATATAAAAAACATTTATTAATTTCTGAAGCCAAATTTACAAAACATTATATTCATAGGTAATCATTATCCTTTAAGTTAAAAATCTGGTTTACTTTTCCATTAAAAAAGTAGATAAAGTTTGTGTATGATATATATATATATATTCATATCTTCCCTTTTTTAGATAGACAGTTACATATTATTATAAATACTTTTTTCTGCTTTGCCTTTTTTGCTGAACTATATCCTAGTTTCTCATTCAATGGCAGTATAATGAAATAGTCCTCATTTTTTTAAAGATTTATTTATTTGAAAGGCAGAGTTATAGAAAGAGAGAGAGAGGGAGAGAAAGAGGAGGAGAAACAGAGAGAAAGATGGAGGGAAAGATTTACCATCTTTTGGTTCACTCCTCAGATTGCCTCAGTGGCTGGAACTGGGCTGGGCTGGCCAGGAACCAAAAGCTTCATCCAGGAACTAGGAGCAGGGGCCCAAGCACTTGGCTTATCTTCCACTGTCCTCCTAAGTGCATTAGCAGGACACTGGATCTGAAATGAAGCTACCAGGACTAAAACTTGTGCTTAACCCACTCTATTACAACTCCAGCCCCTCCTCATTGCTTTTTTTTTTTTTTTAAGATTTATTTATTTATTTGAAAGAGTTACCGAGAGAGAAAGCGAGGTCTTTCATCCGCGGTTCACTCCCCAATTAGCCGCAACGGCCAGAGCCGTGCTGATCCAAAGCCAGGAGCCAGGAGCTTCTTCTGGGTCTTCCATGTGGGTACAGGGGCTCAAGGACTTGAGCCATCTTCTACTGTTTTCCTAGGCCATAGCAGAGAGCTGGATGAGAAGTGGAGCAGCTGGGACTAGAACTGGCGCCCATTTGGGATGCTGGCACTGCAGGTGGTGGCTTTACCCACTACACCACAAGCGCCAGCCCCTCCTCATTGCTTTTTACAGTGGCAAATACTCCATTCTGTAGATATTCTATAGTTTATTAAGCCAGTACCCTATTGATGTCCATTTGAGTTGTGTCAACTTCTTTGTCATTACAAATGGTGATGGCATTATGTTTTTTAAAATTTTATTTATTTGAGGAGTAAAGAGTCAGAGACAGAGAGAATGAGTTCCCCTCTCCATTGGTTCATTCTTCAAATAACCAAAACAGCTGGAGACAAAGCCAAGAGCTGAGAGCTCAATCCAGGTATCTCTATGTGAGTGGTAGAAATCCACTTTTTTGAGCCATCTCTGCTGCCTCCCAGGAGGCAGGAAGCTGGAGTCAGGAACTGGAGATGGAAATTGATCCCAGACACTCCGATGTGGAATGTGGTCATCTTCCTGGCATCGTATCCACAAGGCCAAATGCCTACCTTGGTACTGATAGTATAAAATAAACATTCCCATCAGTAGTCACAGTCATATTTGCTTTGCCTTAGTAGCCTGTCTGGTTTGACTTCAGATCTAAATCGAATTGTGCTGCTTCAGAGCCTGAAAATAGTCAAATGATGGCTCTTTCTTTGTACCACTGTTGCAGGTAACAAGATTGACCTCGCTGAAAGGAGAGAGGTCTCCCAGCAGAGAGCTGAAGAATTCTCAGAAGCTCAGGACATGTATTATCTGGAGACCTCGGCCAAGGAATCTGATAATGTGGAGAAACTCTTCCTTGACTTAGCTTGTCGACTCATCAGTGAAGCCAGGCAGAACACACTTGTAAACAATGTATCCTCACCCTTACCTGGAGAAGGCAAAAGCATCAGCTATTTGACTTGTTGTAACTTCAACTAAAGGCTGAGGTAAAAAGAAGCAAAAGGAAATCAGCAGCTGCCCTGATGGGCCACGAGTTGCTGGGGAGATCTGGCGATGACTGTGGCTCCTGCTCTCGGACCTTCTGACTCCTGTGGGCTCCTGAGCTTACAAAGCATGGCAGGCCAAGGGCTGTGTCCACAGGCCAGCATTAGCAGAACATACAATGGTTTCACTCTTTCGCGGTGTCGAGTCGGAGCAAGGAGAAAATTGCACTAGGAGCTCCATGATCTGCAGAGCATGTTGCTTTTGTTTTTTTAAAAAGCAAGTAAAAGCGCATTCCTGAACGCAGTCCTGAGGGAAATGTACTGTAGGGATCCCTCCTGCACGTCAGTGTGTGCATGTGGGGGCTGTTCTTGCAGGCTTCAGTGGTCATCTTCTGGGGTCCCTGATTTTTTTGTCTACCAGATAAAACAAACCTGGGAAGGCCAAGTACTGTCTCTATGGTGCATATCGATGACCCCATGGAGATCTTGAAAAGTGTTATTTCTTTTGTCCACAGGCACTTTCAAGAACTTTGGGATGTAAAAATGAAATGAAACCTTTACCCATGACCAACAGTAACAATCATTGTTTTAATAATATATACAAACTCCATGACTCCTTTTGGTGCTAATGATTTCACAGACCAAACATTTTAGTGCATTGATGTCCTTAAATGTATTAAGAAATAAAAAAAAAAAATTGGGAAAGTTCATGAATCTGTACTCCTTCTCAAAGTCTCATTCCTACCTTTCCTAGAGTGGATTTGTTGGAAAAGAGAATACTTTTCCTTTCATGTTTCCCTCTGATTCCCTACCATTTCATCTTCTATTTTCTTTCCTACCATTTGAAATCAATGAAATTTGAAAAATAAAAAATACAAATGGGTGATAATTGAATATTTGAATATAAAAGATTATCTCTAAGACCTTATTATTAGCATCAGAAAACGGGCCAGATATGACCAAAATACTGTGGAATAATGGACTGAAGTACAGAGTTCCAAGTAGACAGAGCATGTTCCTTGATGATAGGTCATCTCTTGCTGGCGCTGTCCGTCTTGGACTAACCAATGCTTAGGATTTTATAGATGTTTTAAGTATGATAAGTGAGAATAGCAACAGAGGAAAGGTCTCACGTGTTTCCATCTTCAAGGATAACCTTAGGAAGATTCTGCTTGTTGAAGCAGGTTGAGCTGTCGTTTATCATCTCTTTCTAGTAATAATGTTACTCTCAGCCTTGCCACCATACATTGTTTCCTATTTCTCTTTTCCTGTCTATTTCCTGGTCTCTCCATGCCTTTCTTCCTCCCTCCCTGCTGTTCTCCTTCCTTTCATGCTTGTGTGACTGCAAACCTCTATTTCAAATGAGGGTGTAGATGCCTTTACTTAGCCAGTTGTAAAACAAGGACTCAAAATGGAAGATGTGCTGCTGAATACATGTTCCTATTTCTTGAGTGCCATACTTTGATGACTTCCAATTTGTTCACTGATATAAGGGCAAATTGGGAGGATAATTAAACCTGTGTGCTGTTGATGCTGTCAGATGTTTCTGTAGCTGGCTGCTTAGCATAATGCGGGATGAGTAATGGAATAAGGATATGACAAGTAATTCCACTGCTGCTGTAGATGGTGACAACCTCGGTCCTAATATGTTGTTGTCTGAAAGTGGCTTAACTGTAAAGAAATGAGTCATGGAGAGACATGATATTGATAAGATAAAGCATTTTTTCAGCAAGTTACAGAGTGACTAATCTCAGGCACATGGGATTAGTCATGTTGTTTAAAGGACTGATACTTTTGCTTGGCCTCACTGTGTTTTGTCCTGATCCTATGGGAAACAGGAAAGGATCCTTGAAGTCTGAATTGTTTTTCTTTTAGGATCTGTCTCTAAAGGGGAAAAAAAAGCCCAAAATAATTTATTATAATTGTTGCCTTTCCCTCTGCATCTTCTTCATTACTCGAGCAACTAAAAGTATTCAGAAAATAAGTTAATCAAGGCAGGTAAGCCTTTTAAACTGTGAGGAAATGCCCTTAAGTTTATTAACTTTCATTTAAGACAAAAATCTACTGTTCCCAGAATACGATGACCCAACTCTGTCTTACAGCAGCAGATATGTTGAAAATATGGTTGCTTTAGTTGCAAAACACCAACCTCTAGGGCCATATTTGTAATATGACATTTATTCCCTGGGGCATGGCTTCCTCTCTCTGTTGGTGACCAAGGAAGGGGATTAGAAGGCACTGACCTTGATTCTTTCTTTCCCTGGTACTCCTCTCAACCTCTCTAAAGCCTAGGTCACCCAGACATAGACCTCCAGCAGGGATATATGAGAATGTCAGCCTGTCTTCCTCCCTTCCCTTCCCTTCCCTTCCCTTCCCTTCCCTTCCCTTCCCTTCCCTTCCCTTCCCTTCCCTTCCCTTCTCTGCCCTCCCCTCCCCTCCCCTCCCCTCCCCTCCCCTCCCCTCCCCTCCCCTCCTCTCCCCTCCCCTCCCCTCCTCTTCCCTTCCCTCTTTATTTTTTTCCCTTAGCTATGTGAATTCCAGACTGGGCCTATGGACACTTATCCACTGATGTGTCTCAATCCCTAACAATATTGTAGGTGCAATAAATAATAATGAATAAATAATTTAGTGCTGAGAGGGGCGTTTTTTGGCTAAATGGAAATTCTGTCAAATAGAACTTGAGAGAAAACAGTAGTTAAAAATGAAGTCATCTCAACCCAGGCCAGGACCCAAAACTTTCTGGCTTTTCTGGCAGTTCTTATTGTCATGGTAGTATTTAATAAGATGAACCTTCTTTAGGCTAAAAATGTATTCTCATTTAATGATAAAGAATTGTTTCATCATAATTTAATCTGGCTTGGTTTTACTAATGAGACCCCAGAATCCGTGTCTTTTCCGTTATTGCTGTGCTATTTTTCTCCTTTTCATAAAGTTATTAAATACATGACAAAACTTTTCTCAGTTCCCAAATGAAAATGGATATTTATGTCATGGGATCAGTCTTGGGAAAATCTACAAATGATAGTTTGCTGATATTAATGATATTTTAATATAGCTTCCTGTAGATTGTCTCCTCAAAGGATTTTGTGCTTTCTCCATTGTCTATGCAAGGATTTTTACTCCTTTGCATGCCTTCATTATATTTATTGAATAATATTAACATTTAATTTTTTATTATTGAGGGGCAATTATCTTTCTGTGGGTTACTTTAATTAGGCCATTGGCTTTTCCTGGACTTTCTTTGCCCCTGACTTGTAGTTATTTCATGTTAGCCTCTCTTCTTAAGTGGCAAGAAAACAACTAAACATGATACTCCAGTGGATTGAGTTGATGATGTATCAAATTCCGACTTGCTAAGAAAGGTAGAAAACAATGACCAGAAGTGGATCTGTGAGTTAGGATTATTGGCTGGAGGAAGCAGATGCAGAAAGGAAATAAAAGGTAATCAGCAAATTCTTTGTCTTCGTTCTGAAGGATACTGGTGACTCCCAGTTCTATGTCAGTGATTTGCCTTCTTTATGCTTTAAGCTATCCCACAGTTCTTCCAGATCCAGCACCAAGTTTCAATTAATCATTTACTCTGAATAAACTTCACTTGCAAATGATTTTGAATTGGTCTTCTGATTCAATTGAAAGATCTTTTTTATAAGACACATGAATGAGAGACTAATCAGAAAAAAACCTGTTTCCTTTTATCATTTGTTAAACCAACTGGCCTTAAAGATAGACATTTTCCATTTCTTAGTCCTGGAGAATTCTGTGTATGCCTCTGGAACAGCTCTTCTAGGAATTGCCATTTCATTTTTCTAGAGTTTTTTGTTGTTATTTTAACTGCAGCTGGTTACTTATTTTTTTCAACTATGGTCTTGACAAATGTGTTTTGATGTGACTATAGTAATGTATTTGAGACTTAGAGAACCAAAAGCAAGTGAAAACACATCCACATAAGCAGTATGGTTAAATACTCATTTTGGGAGAAGAGAGGATGTTTCTTATTTTTGGGTTCATTTATGTGACACGAGCCTATTTGTGTTTATAAAGAAAGCTGCCTCTCCTTACATTTTTTCACACTTCATACTGTTTTAAGAAATTATCTTTTCAAGCCACTAATTAATATCATAATGCTTTAATAAAGGAGATGGCATTTCATCCTATTTATTAACTTCTATGATTTTGGAATGTTACAGTCATTTCTGGGAACCATACTTTGAAATGAAAAACAAATTGAAGCATAACCAGCTTTGTGAAGGAATTTAGAATTTAAGACATTTGAAGAGTACTTTAAAAATTTTGGGGAGAGTTAGTCTGGAAAAGAAAATTAATGTGTTACTGCAAGATGCTGTGGATGGGATGAGACCCATTAATAGGGGCCATAGGTCTAAAGATTTGGACTCCACATCGGAGACAACTTTTGAAAAAAGTTGCTTCATCAAGGAAAGTGCTGTCTCAGAAGCTAGATAAGAACTTGGTAAAAATGATGTGGCGAGAACTGAAGCAGTGGTTGGGAATTGAACTAGATGGCCGATTAACTTAAAATTTCATCTTGCAGTGCTTTGCCTCTCATGATGTGTTCAGTTAAATACCTATTGACTCACAGCTACTGATACTTGTAAAAAAGCTTTGCTCTTCTACCATAAGTACATCCCATCCTCCAGGGAGAAGATTAAGTGTTGTTAGGCAAAGAAACAATCCCTAGGCTAGGATTGCCTCTGTCAGTCTATACTCATTAATGTTCTGTTCAATCAAAAACTGGTTCCTGAGTTTAAAAAGGTGTTCTTTCAGGAAAGTTATGTGAAATGATGGAAATTATTCATTTATTCCTCACCAAACATAATCCCCACTCAGCTTAATGAATAATGCGTGTGTCTCTAGGATTTCAAGGTAGGCCTTTTTAGTAGAGCAGAATCTTCACTAAGGATCCTGCAACTAGACTAACATGAAGTTTTCTATCTCCTGTAGGCAAGGGGCTGGTGGGTCACTGGCATAAAGCAGTCCCCAAGATCTATTTTAGAAAAGTTTCAAATGACATTTGGATAGTTGATTTGATTCTCTTGAGAAGATTGAAGTTTAAAAGAACTGAAGCCAAACTGCTTTATGTGAAATATAGCAGAACACAGGTCTTTGATTTGAAAATTAGAGATAATTTATGTAAGAATTTTTGTTAATAAAGCATATGACTCAAATGATTCTGTTTGGAGAATAACTTTACACTTTTCTGGGTTGAGAGATGGATTTTTGCTTGTTCTGTGGTCTTGACTCATGGAGAGAAACATACTTGAGTTGGATGAGGGTTCTTTTTTATTTATTTATTTATTTTGGGGGGGAAGGGCAAGGAGACTTTGGATAAGAGATCCAAGCACAAATGCTAGCAACCACTTCTTGGACTTCTGAGGTGTGTGACTCAATTTTACTTTCACACTGATTTAAGACAGAATTTTTAGAGATGCTGTATTCTAGTTTCTGATGGAATCCTTGGTATATGGTGATTGACCCTTTGGAGAGTAATTTATGCAGATGTATAGAAGGGAAGTACTAGTTTATGTATGTGCTAAAATAGCTGTGACTTCAGGCAAAGCACAATATTTTGAGCATCAGTTTTCTCATCTATAAGATTTGTCAGGAATATCATGAAAATGAGATGAGACAAAGTGAAAGTACAGTGCTCAGCAAACAGCATTCAAATGTTCTTTTCTTCTTAAGAGCAGGTTTTGGATGGTCTGATACAGGTATAGATTCTTAAAGGGGATAAAAAACACCACAGCTTTCCTGGATTCAAATAAAAGCGCTTCATTTCTGAAAGCATTCCCTAAAAGAAACTTGTTTATTGATCTGCCTTTCAGCATTATGCATTACTGTCATCCCTCCTTTTTTTTTTTTTTTTTTTTTTTTTTTTTTTACATACTTCAGGAAAAGTATTCTCTCTTTCTCCTGATAGGCAATTCCAGGGTTGTAAACTCATTATCAGGAAATGTAGTCTCAAAATTAAAATACCTCACAGTGTAATTTAAATATGTTTTTTCTTGATCCTATTCTCCATGTAAAGAAAAGAAAAATGGATTGATCTCTCTCTTCTTTTTATGGGGCCACATTTACTGTTTATTGTTGTCCATTTGCCTAATTTAAAAAAACCAGAAAGTTAATTAAGGTGATATTGTTATTCCCTTTGTGAACATTAGGATAGCTGTTTATTAATTCTTAGCTTTTTATTGGAATCAGATTTAGATCATAAACTTACTGGTGATTAATTATTCAATTATACATGAACTTTTCTTCTTTTAGTTCTTGATAACAAGATGTGCTTTGGAGAAATTATTCCAGTTGTGTGGCTCTTGTTTCTTCCCTTGGTGAAAATGGAGTTGTGAATCCTAAGTTTGTGATCTGCTTTAGGAATTTTATTTTGTATTTGACTTTATTTGATGGACATAATTATCAACCCCTAAGGGTTTCTTTCACTTTCTATATGTGCACTAAGTTCTGAAATAAACTTTGGAGTACCAAGTGTCTAATAAAACAAAAATTCATGTACAGAATAACAAAGAAGAATCTGGCTTCTTAGGATAATTTGTCATTAGTTTGAATGGTACAGTTTTTGTTTAAGGTTACACAGTTATGCCTGGATTAAATAATAATAGTAAAACTTGACAAGCCCTCTGAAAATAGCTGCTACACATATTGCTTTCTGGAATGTAATCATTAGGTATATTCTCTTGTTCTATTCAACTGCAGAATGCTAGTGGAACTTTCTTATAGGCTATTTGACAATGAATGTCAATTGATTTTTAAAAAATCCTCTTATCCCTTTAGAGGCCTATTGGGGCTTTCATGTCCCTGTTGTAGACACTTTTAAATGACTGGAATGCTGGCTTCTAATTTCTTCTCACTGAAGTGTCTTCTGGAATACCAGATGATTGGAGCTCCTTTGATATCAGATAAGGAAGCTACAAAAATATATTCAGATTAATGCATGAGTAAAATTGCTGTTGTCAGCAAAAAACACTCTGCTCAAAATTTCAAATAATGAGTTAAGAGATTTTTGATCATCTAAAGGGAAGAAGTGTGTCTCATAAATATTGTTGCACACACTTTTAATGCATGACTTTTAGTGTAGGGATGAAACAAAATGCAAAATATATAATTCTGGGATCTTTTCAGCAGCTAGTTAGCATATTTAGAGATGCTACTTTATGAAGACTTAAAGAATCCTTGATTTTCTTCTTTTTTCCTATCCCTTCATTAAAACATGGATTTTTAATATATATGTAGTTTCTACAAACAAGTTAATCATTGAGTTTTATGAACTCAAATCTTAATATTTGGTTATTGGTTTCAATCATAGGATTTCAGTAAAGTCTGTATACATCAATATATAAAATCTAACCATCAATGTCATTATAAGCATAGTACTTGATTTAAAAATGTTAATATGCAAATATTAATGGTACACTGTATCATATTTATATGTTCATATATAAATGTGATTGTATGAACAATTTTGAACAACATTTAAAAAGTGGGGTGAGAAAGGGGTCAAGAGCTTGAACAAAATGTTTTCAAATGATGTTGCATCTCTTTTAAAAATTAAGTTATAATTAACATACAATTTACCCTTTTTATGTGTAAAATTCATCTTTTTCATATATTCACTACATTGTTCAGTATCACCAATATCTATTTTCAGAACATTTCCTCACCTCCAGAAGAAACCTTATATCCATTAGCATTCACTCCTCCCTGTCCTTCCCAGCATCTGGCAACAACTAATATACTTTCTATCTCTATGGATTTGCCTATCCTGGCTGTGTCACCCAAATAAAGTCATCTAATATGACAATATGTGGCCTTTTGTGTCTGGCTTCTCTTAATTATATAATGTCTTCAAGACTCATCTATGTGGTAGCATGAATCAGTACATTCTTTTCATGGTCAAATAATATATCTCATTGTATGTGTATACCACATTTCATTTGTCCATCAGTTGATGGGCATTTGGGTTATTTCTGCTTTTGGCTATGATAACTAATAAGTAATGCTGCTATGAACATTTATGTAAAAAGTTTTTCTGGGGGCATATGTTTTCACATCCCTCTAAAAGCAGTTAGTCTAACCAACCATGTCATTTGTATTGATTTATGTAGAGCCTCTTAAAATCCTATTTGGAGAATGTAATTTTTGATCTTAGTTCAATTGATCAATTAAGAGACTCCTGAATAATGGCTAACACCCCAATATATTCATAAGAATTTTTCTATGAGCCTGTCATTTAAATAATCAATTTCATGAAGATTGCTTCAGTCTTGTAGAAGTTGAGTTATCATCACATAGAGCATTTCTTAAGTCCTCTGCATTATTTTAGGGACAGCTATACATCATTCTAGAGAGGTCTACTCATATCTCATATCTAATCTCTTAGGATTCAATGAAGGAGCATTTTTAATATACAGTTTCTTTTATATATTGACTGTATTCTAAAGTTTGAATTTTCTTTCTGGAACAAAGATTGTCAAATTGCCAAACCGCCTGACTGTCCATTGTAGCTTAAGTTTTATTAAGAAATAATTCACACTGAGCAAAAGTAAAAAGAATGTATTTTGTGTGCAAAGGATGAATGTATTAAAAAGAACTTTTTATTTGTAACAATTTTTTTAAAAAGCTGAATGGAATTTCTTTCCCATGTACTTGTATATAAATAAACATTTTCTGTTACCCACATTTGGAGGATGATATGGCATCAAAGTGTGTAAAAAGCAAATAGGCTTTAAGTATAAAAAAGTCATTTAGCATGAGGTGGAATGTGTCCTTTATCTGGAGACTTGTGTTTGTGTGTTGATTCTCTAACTGTCTAAACTTGACAAAACATTTAACATTTTGCACCAGGGCTTTCTCGTCCATATGGGGCTAGATTAAATAACCTTTAACACATCCTCTAATTGTAACACTGAATAAGACTGCTCTGCTGTATTCAGGATGTGAAACTTACATGCTAGTTATTTCTGTTGGTGAGAAAGGTGCTTTATCCTGATATACTGGAAAGAATATTACACTGAAACCCAGGAGTCATAAATTCTGATCCCATTTCTGACACTGAGAAGTCACAAATTCTAGTCCCAATCACTATAATCTTGGATTTATCATTCCAAGCCTTAGTTTTTCCAAATATAAAATATGGGCACCAGATTAGATGTCTTCACCGTCTCTTCCAGCTAAGACACACTATACAGATTTTTAGATGTATCATTTAGGATGTTATCCTTTACAATTAGGAATGTGTCAACTTACTCATCACTAGCAAGATATTCATTCATGATTCACTTATTTATTTACCATGTATTGGGCATATAGCACTGGGCAGGTACAAGAACCTGCCTTATTGATGCCCACTATGTGCACTGCAGGCATCGTGATTTTCTTTCCTTGGAATTCCTTTCCACCTCAGCCTGTGCCTCTTACCTTCTGCCTTGGGACATTCCTTTGAGAGATGAATATCTCGGATTAAGGGCAAGTACAATAGTTCATGGAACATGTCAGAATTAGCAGGATGACAAAGGAATCAAATCTATGATCTTGGGCTCCTTTGCATGGTATTCTTTAGTTATTTGAACATAGACATTCTCTAATCTTATTCGTCATTATCATTCATAAAGTATTGGAGTTTACAAGATATGCTATAATTTTCTTCTATTGCCTTAAGATAGCTTCTCTGTAGTTGGTATGAGACTCTAAATTTTGCTATTTTATCACCTTCACTTACAGGATGTGTTTGTAGAAATTTCTGAGTTTGCACATGTTGTGGTTTTAAAGTGTTCTGTTATTAATGTTAGTTTGAACCACATGAAACTTCTTACAGTTCAAAAACAGATATTGGTAATGTCATATGACTCTAATATGACCTAATAAGTCACAAGCAGCAAAGACTGGGAGGCAAATGCTTTTAGCTAGAGGAAAAATTCTGACCTCTTTTTTGTTTTGCCACTAAGAGACTTTGGACAAATTACTTCACTTTACATGTTTTTTCCATTAGTTAAATGGGAATTTTGAAAACTTGCATTGCATTTTAAAATGCTCACTCATATATGTCATTATGGATCAATGGAAAAAATGGTATAAATGTGGTTTTTTCCCCAAATATCTAAATGTTGAAATCATTTTTCTCCTTATTTGAACAACATAATGCCCTAGATATATAATTCTTTGGCAAGTTACAAATCAGTATTTTGAAAAACCTGAGGGTCATGCTCATTAATTAACTCTATTATCCTATGTATGCTAACTGGCAGACTGTAACTGATATGTATTATTTACATACCCCCAAACACATCTGCACACAAGAGATGAAACCTGGAGCTATATTTAAGCCACAATCACATGGGTGTGCCTTCAGCCAGGTGCTCATATCTGAATATTTTAAGAACTGTACTACATTTAAGGAACTGAAATATCTTATTTCCATTACTTACAAGAAACCAAATATGAATAACATAAGACATCCTAGTTAACTTTTCATATCTGGAGTTTATTCAGCCTTCCCAGAGAATAGTTATATTTTCACATCTAGATCAAAATAAACTTGGAGAAAACAGTGTCTTTCTGCCTTTGATCTTAGAGATGAACCTGTAGAAACTAACAACTGTATAAGGCCTAATATTCTACAATGTTTATTGATAGTTATATTTAATCTTCATGATAAGTTTGTGAAGTACTTTGAGCGGCTAAAGTAGATAGTACACAAGTTTTGAGGGAAGATAAAGATCAAGGATCTGATTTGCATTTGAAAAGCTCTCTGGGCAAAGGGAATGAAGAGTGCAAAGAAGTTTAAGCCAAAATATCTGCTACTTTGAGTAAGTTACTTAACCTCTTTTTACTTAGTTTCCTTATTTACAAAGTGAGGATCTCAACGCTTGCCACCACTTATTTATCCATCACTTTACTATGTGCCAAGTAGTGTTTTAGTCACTGGGCAGATGGCAGTGGACAAAATGTAAAAATAAATAAAGAATTCATGGAATTTACATCATAGCAAGGGAGGAGTAGGAAATTAGGTACAATATGTCAAGTGTTGGTATAATTAATAAAAAGAAATAGGCCAAGGCAAGAGAGAGAAAGTGATGCCAGAGTGTTGCTGTTTTTTATAAGGCGGTCGAGGAATAAGACACTAATTTGTCATTTGAAAATATTTTTAAAGGGAATGAGGAAAGGAACAGTGTGGAAATCTTGGTGAAGAGTGTTCTAGTCAGAGGGAATAGAACATGCCAAGGCCTTTAAGCAAAAGAATTCCTGGAATTCCAGGATCATCAAGGATCCCAGCATTGCTAAAGCAAAACGAGTGAGTGGGGGGCAAAGAGTAAAGTCTGAGGTGTGGTAATGGCATAGACCATAGTTCCTTGGATGATGTTGCAAGGACTTTGGTTTCTACTCAGAGTGAGATGGCAGCTCTTGGAGTGTTTTAAGTGGAAGAGTGATCTGACATTTTAACAGGATCAGCCTGCAGCTCTTCTGAGGATAGATTGTAAAGGGGCAAAGATGGGAGAATATTTAGGGAGATTATCACTACAATACAGGAGAGAGATGACCTGTGTCTCAGGAGTAGGTGTGAAGATTGTGAGATGTGCTCATATTCTAGCTATGTTTTATTTAACTTCATATTAGAGAAAATGTCAAACAGATTAAAGTACAGTAGTATAATGAACCTCCGTGTGTGTACATATAATCCAGCTTCAATAATTATCAGCTTATGGCCAACTTTATTTCATATACATTTCAACCAATTTTCTTCATTCTGTGTTATTTTTGAGCAAGCCCATACATCATATAATTAAATATCATCAAATATGTTTTTTTTTTTTTTGGACAGGCAGAGTGGACAGTGAGAGAGAGAGACAGAGAGAAAGGTCTTCCTTTTTGCCGTTGGTTCACCTTCCAATGACCGCCATGGCCAGCGAATCGCGCTGATCTGAAGCCAGGAGCCAGGTGCTTCTGGTCTCCCATGGAGTGCAGGGCCCAAGCACTTGGGCCATCCTCCACTGCACTCCCGGGCCATAGCAGAGGGCTGGCCTGGAAGAGGGGCAACAGGGACAGAATCCGGTGCCCCGACCGGGACTAGAACCCGGTGTGCCAGCGCCGCAAGGTGGAGGATTAGCCTATTGAGCCTCGGCACTGGCCCAATTATGTTTTTAAAAAGAACTACAAAAGCATTATTATATCTATAAAGTTTAAAGTAACTCTTTAATAACTTCAAACACAGATCTCTATATATTTTAAAGACAGAGCATATATGCCAAGTGCATAGGTTAGATTTAAAGAGGAGTTAACAATGAGTATGAGATTTTTGACTGAAGTTACTGGTAGTGTTATATTGACATTTACACATATGAAGAACTCTGCAGGAGGAACAGATTTGGTGGATGGAGTGAATCAGGAGTTTGGTTTAAGGTCCATTGAGTTTAGGATGTTGGACTCAGATGTGCCTGAAATTTCAGAAGAGATCAAGCTGGAAATAGAAATCTGGGAGTTGAGAGAGAATACATTGAATATTGAAAGTCATAAAAGTGATGTCACCAAAGAAGATAAGTGGAGAAGAGTTCTGAGGACTGAACTCTGGGGCACTCCAACATTCAGTCAGCAAGGGAGACAGAAGTAATGACCAGTGAAATAGTAAGAAAACTAAGGCAATGATGTTGAAGCCCAGTGAAACAAGTCTTTTAATGAGGCAGTGATCTACTGTTAAATAAAGGGCATGTGTTTGGTGCAGCAGCTAAGTTGCCACTTAGGATGCCTGCATTTCATATTGGAGTGCCTGGGTTTGAACCCTGGCCCTTCTGATCCAGTGTCCTGCTAAC